CAGCTGAACTGACATATCTTCAACTGCAACACTGTGAGTGTCTCATCTCCTCACCAAGTTGGCCACTGGATGTCACCAGAAACGGCAAGAGGAGCAGTGGAAAGCTCTGGTGAGGAGAATGAGTCTCGCCACATTGGCAGTTGGTTTTGGAGTCGTCATAGCTTGTGAATGAAGCAGTGAGCACACCAGCCAGCATGGAGGTGAGCATTGAGATGTGCAAACAAGGAAGACCATTGGACGCTCAGTTGTGATCTTTGTGAGGCAGCAGAGGTAGGCGAATGCGTAAATGAGTGGACGATGAAACACGGTGACTGGATGCTAACCGCTCCACCACAATCCAATTTGAATGAACAGAATTGGTCTGCCGAAGGGCACTCGCCATCTACTCGGAGAGTGAAGGTGATGATGAATAGTGTAAGACAGTTGTTCGTGGCTGTTTGGCGGTGTGGTGACAGGTGTTACTCCTCTCCGTCCTCCACTTCGCCAAAAACAGAAAAGAGGAGGAAGAAGAAGTAGAAGAAAGGGTAGCGACACATTGGCGTGCTTCACAGCCACACGTTGTAGGGAGTTGGAGAGGCACAGTTGTGCAGCAGACGCAAGAACCGACAAAGAGTTAGCACTCGGTGTTGTGAAGTGGAACCTTGGTGGAGGTATATTGCAGTGCATTTAGGGAATTGGTGAAATGGTGGGAGGTCGCCTCCCACCACACACACCTCGTCCCAAAATGTTGTGTGTTGAAGGGAGTGTTGGAGGTGCCTCTACCATCCCACACTCTCTTGCGTCCTTATTGCTTCTTCGTCTGACATGCGGTTTGTTTCACTGACCAACACTAATGTTTCGTTTTGGCTTCCCTTCTTAAGGGGACGCGCATCAGTGGGTGTGGTACGGCGTTGGGGAGTGGTAGAAGGGTAGTGGAAGGGAAGGATGACACGGTGAGTTTATGCTGAGTCCATGTGATTTGATATGTGCTGCCACAGGAAGCGCAGAAGGTGGGATCGTGTGAGTGAGAGGAGGGAGGTGGGCAAACAGTCCTCATCCAGTCACACTTCCTCCGACAACCATCCACCATTCCGCATGGATAAGACCATTCTTCAGGAGGTGCTGGAGGAGGTGAGCACCTCGGGTCGAGTGTTCGATTTTCGACGGCAGTTTGTGCAAGCTAGATTGCGAAGGAACGCGATGAATGGCAATGCGGAGGAGGAGGAGGAGGAGATGACGTATGTCTTTGTTGACAGGAAGGAGCAGAGTGTGTTCGAGAGGATGGCAGGTGACTTGAGGGAGATGAACGAGGAGTTGGACAAGAAGGACGAGTTTCTCGCCTCATTCGGTTTGTTGCGACCAGGAGTGGAATTGGCGGTGTTGAAGAGGATGCGGAGCAGTTGCAAAGGGAGGAGGAGGAGGAGGAGGCGAGCACTGTGGTATCGCAGACGACCGAGGGGAGCGACAGCGATGGCACGACTTCGAGGCAACTCTCGACTGAGAGGCAGTGCTAAGAAGGTGTGGAGGCGTAAGGTGAGCAGTACTAGAGGAAGGCCTCCATCGACGGCAACGAGATAACGTGTTGTGATGTACGGAGAAGTGTGTGCACTCGCTTTCAAGCTAACGTCGCATTGTTAGTGATTGTACAAAATACACACTGCTGGAGGAAGTGGGTGTTGCAGATAGAAATGC